AAGAGCTCAACGAGCCCAAAGGGCTCATAAAAAGTGGAATGCATTTTGAAATGCGTCTAAGTTTCGTCAGTGACACCAACAAGAGTCAGAACCAGATGGTATTCCCAACGTTTCAGCCCTGCAAATGCAGTTATGCTGCTAGTTCCGAAAAAAGTTAAAGGTGACTCCTACGGCGAATGATCACTTAAATCAAGCCTACTACAAATGTCCTCGCCTGAAAGTATCCTATACATTGTGACTCATTTACAGTGGCCGGATAGTGACGTGCAGTGGCAAGGTTTCTAAATTCCTTGCGAACTAAGATGGAAACTAGACCTGCTCGAAAACTGGTATGTAGAAAAACTAGGTTTCAAAAAATCCCTTAATAGGTTGATGTTGGAGTAACTTTCATTTCATTTGAAAAGCCACCTTTTTTGTCTTCGTGTTTTAATGAAAGCATGGCGCTCCGCTCTGACGATGTCTGTCGTATGACAGATGAAAGTTCAGCACGGATGCATCGGGGTCGCAGGACGGTGCACCGAGGACCCATTCGCACAAATCTACAGCCACAGCTCCAAGGCAATCCCTTCCAGTCGCCTCTTTAAACCAAATGAAAGATACTCCAACACGATCGAAAATTTACTTTAATCTGAGTAAGCCTGTAGCTAAATCATCAGGACTTTGAGCATTAAAGCTCAAAGTTCTGGCACGCTCCATTTATACATTGTATGGATAAAGTGAAGTCATCGGCTATAGCTAAAATTAACTATGCTCCTATAAATCATGAAAAGACCGAACAAAAAAGCATAGCTCACCGATCGGCATTTGATAAGGCTCGCTTGAGAGACAGAACAGAGTCCAGATGGAGTTGTAGGCGTAGGTGGAGGGGGTGCAGAAGCACGAGTCTTGCCCGCACCTCCACCAATCGCCCCCGTCATATTGCTAGAGGGTCCGGTGATTTTTCCACCTAAAGGCGGAGCATTGAGGGTGGGGTTTGTCTGTGGTAATCCGAGACCTTGAGGGCATGTGCCAGTAGTTGTGTGTGCACTTCCACTATCGCCCGTAGCTTTTGAAGATGACGAAGCGACGGTGACGTCAGCGGCCACGGCTGAGCTGGCTGAGTCCCAGGGTAGGTGGCGGAACAACTCTGCAGGTAGCATGGCATTCACTTCGGAAGAATTAGGATCCCAGTGGAACTCTTCGCTCAGCCGTCGTCCAGTAGTCACATTGATCAGAAAGAGAGTGACGAAAAATGGCTCCGGCTAAGGGATAATAGAAATAATGACGAAATTCCGAAATTCATTCACACGTACACTCAAATGCAACTACAAAATAAAATCAAAAATTACTGGTGGAGAAGAGCCAAAGAGTAGAATTGTTTGTTTAACTATAACCCTGATAATAGTATGGAATGAATGTAATGTCAAAATCGCCTAAGATGGTTCTATCCGATGGCAAAATTTAAAAACGAATGAATCTCTCTAAAAAATAATCAAAATGCTTATGTTTAGCGAGGATCGAAGGCAACCTAAAGGAAGTTAAATAATATAATTAAAAATATATCTAAAAATGAAAGAGATGTCATTTTCGCATGAACCATGCTTTACTGCTATATGATAATGTAAAAATAAATTAAATATGAAGAGTTACTGGGTTTCGATGAACTTTGGACTTTCATTTCGTATGAAAGTTTATGAAGAAGAGATTCGAAGGTCGATCTCATCAATAGAGGACAGTGGAATCCCATTGTACTGCAGCGTTTGGCTTATATACGACGTTGAGATTGATTAAGTCCACGAGACCTCCTCCCTCTTTTCAGGCGAAAACGGGCATTCGATGGACATCATCAGAGCTGGGACTCATTCTTGTAAAATGCTCAAGTTAACACTAAGGCAAGAATACTATCCGGCTCTATCTTACCTCTTATATAGTCTCATTTAGGCAATATAGAATTGAAAAACAGAGAACAATATAGAATGGTTTTGTTGATTATCCTTATGCTGGTCACCTTATTTTGGGTGGCAGTTCAACACCATTCTTCAATCTAGCAATCAAGCATAAGTAGTTCCTACTCAACTTTACACCACCGTTCTTCACATTCAACGTGTTTCCTAATCTCTTAATTTCAATAGCGTCTCTTATCTTTCTTTTAACCGCAGAAGTGCTATAATCAGTAAACATACTAGTTTGAGACCATGTCCAGTTTCTCCGATGTGTTCGGCCACTTTTGACTGTTGGAACCAGTTCCCTTTACAAGCATTTTTGTGTTGCCACAATCGTTGCAGAAAAGAATATCAAGTAGGTGAGAAATGAGGTAACAAATTCAAACCGCCAATGCGAGGATTAAGGAAGCAGTAAACGAGGGATAGAGATAGAACAAGACAAAATAAAACGAACAGGAAATATTTCAATTAGTTGAATTGATAAAATTTAACGAAAATTTTATGAAGTCAAAAACCGTTTGATTATACTTTAAGAAATGGATCAGTCAAGGTTGTGGCTTACGTTATCCGCGGTTATGCTGTGTCCTGGTGTCTCAAAGTTGAGGCGTAGCGCCGATTGAAAGCTGACGCAAGTGGCGAGAAACCAACGCAAGTGCAACTCTTTTGTCACACAAAGGCTGGCTAGAGAAGAAGCAATTGGTCCTGCCAAGGCTGAAGTCTTAGTCGAGCCACTTCCTGTTGTAGTAGCTCCGGGGCTAATAGAGTTTGCAGCAAAGCCCAAATTGCCTCTGGAGAGGGCTGTGGAAGTGTTAGGATCGTCGCCGATCTGCCGATCAGGAAAAGGCGAGCAACTTACACAAACAGGCTGTGACTCAAAAGGGCGACTTGCGGAATCTGAGACTGCGGGTGCTGATGAATTTGAGACAATTCCAGGCCGGATGGTCGGACTGGGACAGGAGCCGAGGCTGTAGGATTGATCCAAATTAAATAGCTCCAGTTTAAGTTTGGCGCGGAGGCGTGCTGTGGGACCAGTCTGCTCAAAAGGAATCTGCCATTAGAGATTCCAAAGTAGATAATTGTTGGTAAACGGATACAAACTTGAGATTATAAGGATGGCACAAGTTAGGCAGATAGCAAATGTGATAAATTAAGTGTTGTGTTTAATGAAGCTGGTGATCCATTTTGAACTAACAATAAGGTTGGAACGAGGAAATTGCGAAGGGTATATTTTCGTTAATAGTAGTATTATAAAATTCTGTTCATAAATCGGTAATCAGGTAAGTTGATCATTTAAGTTGGGAATAAAAATAAAAGTGACTAAGGCAATAAGCCTGAGTCATATAAAGTGAAAATATCTCAAAGCTTAGATAATCAGACTTCGGCCATAAGGTCCATAAAGGATAACTATTAGATGGCATCAAATTTTAGAGCTTAGAAGTGCACCAAATAAGAATAATAATATCACTAAGAAGCTTAGAAAACACAAGCAAGTAGTTTTGAAGGCAGAAAAAGGAGGAGCAGTTGTAGTTATGGATAGGACAGATTATATATAAAAGATGATGCGAGCTTTAGATGATTTTGATACATAGAGAATTATAACTAACGGCCTTACAGACACACTAAGTTCGAGAATTAAGAGTTGCCTGCAGCAATGCGTTAATAGTGGAGAATAGGAAAAGTTACGCTAGACCTCCTAATGCATGTGGTCTGCCCAAAATCCATGAAGAGGAG